CGGGTTCAAACTCAGCCCCAGCCAAAAAACTGCAGAAAAAAAAAGGCTAAAGTTCACTTCTTGTAAGAAATAAGAGGCCAAAAGTCAATGGACAGGTTTAAAGTACTGATAGATTAAAAACTGCCAATCCATAACTCTATTATATATCCATAAATATATCCTTCAAATATATAAACTGAAGGCAGAATACACATTTTCAGATAAAAACTGAGAAAATTCAATACCAGTAGACTTTCACTATAAGCAATGCTAAAAAAATTTTTCAGGATGAATGGGGATGTAAAATGAGATAGTGTTTTATTTATTCTTTACTATGTAATAATTTTATAGTTTAAAATAATCATTTCTTATTTATCCCTCTTCCATAGCTTAGCAGGCCATAGTGAGTGGTCTCCCTGCTCTGGATGTTATTGGCTATGGTAACTTATGTGGCTGGATTCAGCTGGGAGCTTGCCAGGGCTGGAACTTCCAAAATAGCTTCATACACATGTCTGATAACTCAGTTGTCACGGCCGACCTGGTGGGGTAGACCTATCTTGCTACCAATGCTTTTTGTTATTTAGTGATCTAAACTAAACTTATTTATCTGTTGGCTGGACTCACTTATGTAGTTGCACCAAGCTCGTCCCTGATTTAGGCCACATGGTCTGAGATGGAACCAAAGCGCTGACTGTTGCTTCCATGTGGCCTCTTTCCATGCTGTCTTTCACACTCTAGTGTCTCTTCCTTCCTGTGGCCTCCTAGCAGTGTATCCTGGGTTTCTTTACATAGTGGCTCAGGATATTTAGTAGGGGGAAAAAAAAAAGCAAAAAGCAAAAAGCTGTGCCTTTGAAGATGAGTCTTTCCTCGAATCTAAGACTAGAATACCACTAGTCTATCTATTTATTTCAATTTTCTGCAAATTATTATATGAAAGTGAATGGTGTAAGCGTTTGGGGGACCTTAGGTTAGAATTGGCATGACATCATTTTTACTGTACTTTGTTCATCAAAGCAAATTAAAAGACCAGCCCAGATCCAAGGGGTAGAAACATAGGCTTGTCTTCTTAACATGTATGTGCATGTATAAGAATGTAAAAAATGAGGCGGCACCTGTGACTCAAAGAAGTACAGCCCTGGTCCATATGCTGGAGGTGGCGGGTTCAAACCCAGCTCCGGCCAAAAACTGCAAAAAAAAAAAAAAAAAAAAAAAAAAAAATTTTGGCAGCAATTTTTGAAGATAATCTACCAGAAACAGGAAGAAATGAAAAGCACAGGAAATAATAAAATGTAGACAAATGAGTAAAAGGCAATATATACTTTTCTTCTCTTAATTTTGTGAATACTTGTGACTAACACAAAAATCGTACGATCCATAGATGTACGTTGTATATGTATGTTGTATAACATACATTGTACGTTGTATATGTATGTTTGTATGTTGTATAACAACAACAAAGGACTTGGCGAGGTGGTTGAGTAGAAGCCTATTGCGAGGCTCTTTTATGTGAAGTACCACAATTTTAACTCTACGTAGACAATGATAAATTAAAGACGTATAACGTAAGTTTCAGAAATACTGCTAAATGATGCAAAGAGATATAGCTGAAGCCAACAGAGGAATGAAAATGGAATACAAAAACATTAATTAACTTAAAGAAAGGCAGGAAGTGAACATAGGAGCCCAAAAGTAATGGGACAAATTGAGAACAGATAGCAAAATGATAGACCTAAATTCAACAATATCAACTATTACAAGTAATATAAATGAATGAAAGATACATGAAATGAATTGGATTATAAATAACAAACATTAATTATCTGTTGTCTACAAGTGAAGCACATTAAGTAAAAGATATAGATTGATTGCAAGTAGGAAGATGAAGATTTATCATGTGAATAGTGAGCTAAGAAGGCTGTAATGGATATATTAACATCAGATGAATTTTACTTCAAGATAACAATTACTATTAGAGATAAAGAAAGATTTTCATTATGATGAAATGGCCAATTCATCAGGAAGATATAAGAACCATAAATGTTTTTATGCTCAATACCAGAGCTTCAAATATGTTAAAGAAAAGCTGGCAAAAATAAAGCAAATCCACAATCATAGTCTGAGTTTTCTTTCTTTCTTTCTTTTTTTCTTTGAGACAGAGCCTCAAGCTGTCGCCCTGGGTAGAGTGCAGTGGCATCACAGCTCATAGCAACCTCTAACTCCTGGGCTCAGGAGAGTCTCCTGCCTCCACCTCCCAAGTAGCTGGGACAACAGGTGCCTGCCACAACGCCCGGCTATTTTTTGGTTGCAGCCGTCATTGTTGTTTGGCGGACCCTGGGTTGGTTTTAAACCTGCCCAGTCAGGTGTATGTGGCTGGCGCTTTAGCCACTTTAGCCACAGGCACCAAGCCATAGTTTGAATTTTCAACAACCGTCTCTCAATAACTAATGGTAACACCACACAAAAAGTCAGTAACAGAATAGGAAATCTGAACAAAATTATGAACACCTTAACTGAACTGGCATTGATAGTCACAATCCTCAACAACCGCAGAACATAATCTTTTGTAGTGCTCATGAAACTTTTGCAAAGATAAACTATATTCTGGGCAATATAATAAATCTCAAAAAAATTAAAGCACTGAAAATTCGCAGAGTTTATTTTCTGACTACAGTAAAACTAAACTGGCAATCTCTAAGAAGCCTGGTCATGAAAAAAGATTAAAGATGCAAATTCTCAATATCATTATTTCAGTTATCTATTGCTGTATAAGAAACCACATCCAAAGTTTAGTGGATCAAATCACAACCATTTTATTGCTCATAATTTTGCGTGTCAGGGGTTTGTACAGGATTCATTGAGAACAGCTCACTTTCGCTCAATGTGTTGTCAGCTGGACTCACTAATGTTGTTGCATTAAGGTAGTGTCTGATTTAGGTTACATTGCTTGAGATGAAAACAAAATGCTGACTGTTGTTCCATGTGGCCTCTTTCCACGTTGTCTTTTATACTCTAGGACTGCCAGAAGCCATTTCCTCATGTGGCTTCTTTAGCAGGGTATCCTTTCTACTTCCTGTGTTTCTTTACACAGTGGCTCAGGGTACTAAGCAGGTGAAAGAAAAAATAGAGAAAAGAAAAAGCTGCGCCTTTGAGGATATAGTGTTGCTTCAAAGACTAGAATCCCACTAGTCTATTGAGATTATGTGAAATGTTTTTGTTTTCATGCTTTTATTTTTGCCATATCCTTTTCATTATTCTGGGCTATAGTGTAGTCTATGAGGATATCACTTTAATTTTTGGCTGTATGAAGTCCATTTTGTAACAGATTCTTTAGGAAGGGTTCACAGGAATAACATTCTCTAAATGACAGTTTGTAGAGTTTTCTTTAAAATGTAATTCATCACCATATTAAGTTGCTCTCTAGAGCAGAGTGATTGTGAGAACATCTGTCGCTTCCTTGTAATATATATGCTTCTCAACTGGCATCTAGAAAACTTTTTACATGCTTTATGTTTTCATTTTTGTCATGCCATTTTTTAAATCTTACTTATACTATTGGATGTGATATGGTATTGCCTTTTTTTTTTTTTTTTTACTCTCCTCTCCTCAATATATTTTCTACCAGAATGATACCATGGGAAAGGAGAGTGGTAGGTAGGACATATAAAAATATTAACAACTCTCTTAAGTTTTGCACTTTTATCTATTGCAGCCTCAAGGTGTTTAAAGACTTACAGAGAATGAAAACACTCTTCCTTATTTTGGGGAGACCATGAGCTTTTATCCAAATCACTTCTGGATTGGTTTTGGTGAATTTCTACCTCATGCCAAGGGAAGAAATGTAGCCAGGTCAACCTTTAGACTAGAAGAAGCTAATGATTTGATATCTCATGTGTATCCTCATGGACCATATCATCATTTAGGTTAGGCTTGTCGGTAGAGTTAGTGTACAGGCTTGGGTGAGGTCAAGAACTAAGGGCAGATGGAACTTTTTCTTGCACGCCCATAACTACTACATATTGTTTATGAAGACAACACAGAATCAAGTAAATGAAGCATTTTAAGGAACCCATGCACGAACTGTTACTAGATTCTTTAAGCTCCCCTCTGACACTACTCACATGGTTCACTCTCAGGAAGCTCAGAGATTCCTGGGGGAGCTTATGTTACTTACGCAGCCTTATTTGTGAACAAAATTCTTTTTTGCAATGACTTTAAAGCAGCCTCCCTTCAGCTTTCACTCATTAGTCCTACTCTGTTCTTTGATACTGTGAAAAAATTGTCTGACTTGTTTTTCACAGATGAGCTCTCCAAACACTGGAGAAGCATATTGTGTTCCCTCGGGTCTCTGACCGTTTTCCAGCGCCATCGTCCCTAGAACTCCTTACCTGTCACTCATGTCACATGATTTTAACCATTTTACTTGAGATACCTTTTCACAGACTTTTGTGAATGTTTCTCATTAAAGTTGACCCCAGACAGGTCCACAGAATAACCTTTGCTGAGAAAGATAAAGAGATGCTTGCCCCATGGAGAAGGCAGTTGGGTCAATTAAAGCTAAAATTGAAATAACAGAGAAAAGAACTTTCGAGGAAGCAATTAAAAGATTATGTATGTGTGACTTTATCTAGTTAGGAGCCACCAGCCTCGTCTCCGCTCGCGCAGTCCTCCTGCGAGGCGCGCCCCGCACAGTTACTCTCTCGGGCAAGGTGCATCTACTTTTCACCGCTCCCTTGGTCCAACTCCACACCTTCGCTCTGATTTCCATTTGTAATGAAGTCTCCCACTGTCTGACTAAGACAGACACAACCGTAACACTCGGGCCAAACCAATGGAAGAGAGATGGTCTACCCACCCCTCCTGGGTCACTTTCAGGGCAGGGGCGAGGCTCACGTCATCCGGCTCTGCAGAAGGAGGAGTCAGGGGTGGGGCTACGTCTGCGCACCGGGACGCTCAAGGCGGGTTTGCGCATGCTCATACCTAGCGCTGTCTAACTTCGCTTCCGGTTCAGGTTTCGTCGCGTGTTGCGGAGTCTGCAGAGTGAGTTTAGCTTTACGGAGGAAATCTGGCTTCAGGCAGGTAAGTGCCGCGGAAATCGTCCGTGGTTTAATGGAACGCGAAAGTATTAGGATTTCTCAGTGTTCTTCTGTTGTTTTCTAATGTCCTGAAACCTCGTTGAGTTCTGAGAACCAGGGGAGAAGGTTAGGTTACCATGGCAACTGCCTGACTCGAATTTGAGTCTTTGAGGATGTGCGGAGGTAGGACTTGCGTAACTACTCCTCAGAATACACAGGGGGTCGGATTCAAGTTCAAGTGTGGCTTAAAGTTCATGCTTCTAACCAAAGCATTGAATTTTAAAAGGCGTACCCTGACTTTAATATGAAGAAGCAGGGTAACTGTTGAGAGAGCTAATGCAGTAAGCTGGACTGAGTTTGCAGGTATGGCGAACTCGGATGGTGCTGTGGGAATGCAGAAAAGAGGGAAACTTGGAGGAATTCTGGGAGATGTTATGAACGGCACGAATACTCGATTTTATACGGGAAATGAGGGAGAGGGACCCTGAGCATCTTGAGGTTTAAGTCCAAACTCACCTTGGCACGTACAGTTATCTTTCTAGGTTCATGTCCCACCACCCGTTCTAATTGCCTGGCGTCTCCTTCTCTACCCACCGGATTCCAATCATGCTGAGTAGTTAGGTGGTCTATTTCCTAGAATATTGCCCTCGCCTTTTTTTTTTTTGTGACAGTAAACAGATTACATAATTTCACTATGCCCCTCATTTTTTTCAACTTTAACGTGGAAGAAAATAATAGTACCTAGCTCAGAATTTGCTATGGGGATTCGATTACATCATGTCTATGCCTGGTACATGGTAAGGGCCCAGTAAATATTAGCTGTTAGTGTACTTGTCATATAATTTTGTTACTGTACTTTATGCTGTTTCTTCCTCTAAACTTGAGGTTTTCTTTTTTGAGGGGCAATATTCTATTTATCTTTGTATGTGCTTGAAATAGTAATGGTTCAGTATTTTTGTTTTTGAATGGATTATTCATTTTGGCTGTTGCTGACACAATTAAAATCATTTTTCTTTACTTTAAAAGAACTATGAGGTATGATGAATTTTGCTGATCAAATGGTTTTTACCAAATAAAAAGATGGCTGTTTTCTGTGCGACTCAAAAGCCTGTGGGTTAAGATGTACAGAAAGTAACTGATATTCTCTGTAATAGGTATGGATAATTTCAGTGAAGAATTGGCAAGGCCTGTGACAAAGGATGGCCAGGTGAAAATGTCTATACTCTCTGGTACAGGAATGCATTTTCCCTGGCTTCAAAGTTATGTAGAAACTGTGGGTAAGTAAAATAATATAAAACCATTTTAACTTTAATGCAAGCAGGTGGTAAGATTCAAGATTGTTAGAAAGTGAACAGCCACACTGGTTTAATTTTCACAATAGAAATATGTGACGTTTTAGGCTATAAACAAATGCAATCACAAGACATAGATTCTCTTTTCTTTAAGACTCATTTGCCTTTGAATTAATTATAGATAATCTGTATTCCAGTAGATACACTTTTTTTCCCCCAGCAATACTTACTGAATTCTTTCATCTCTGGCATTGGCTGAATATTAAAGACTTGTAGATGAAGAAGGTATGATCTTTGTCATTGAGAAGAGTGTAACTAGGAAGTTTTCAAGAAGTTTTTGTTGAATTGCATTGAAATTATTCCTAATAGAATTGATTGTGCAGTAGGTTTTTTAGAGAAGAATATTCCTCCTCCTTTTTTTTTTTTGAGACAAAGAGTCTCACTATGTTGCCCTTGGTAAAGTGCCATGGTGTCACAGGTCACAGCAACCTCAAACTCTTGGGCTTAAGTGATTCTCTTGCCTCAGCCTCTCAAGTAGCTGGGACTACAGGTGCCCGACACAACACCTGCTGTTTTCTTGTTGCAGTTGTCATTTGTTGTTTAGCAGGCATGGGCCAGGTTCGGACCTGCCAGCCTTAGTATATGTGGCCGGTGCCCTAATCACTGAGCTATGGGTGCTGAGCCTCCCCTTCATTTTTTAGCTAATGTAAATACAGGCAAATTTTTCTATGGGATAAATTCCCTATAGGAAATACAAAAGAAGCAGTCATCTGTATGATTGGAGTGTTGGGTAGTATAGACGTGGCAGTGCATTTGGACCAGCACTTTTATTTATTTATTTTGATAGATTTAGGGGTACATGTGATTTTACTTGGATGGATCGTACAGTATGAAGTCAGAGTTTTTAGTGTACCCGTGGCATGAGTGGTGTATATTATATCTGATAGGTAATTGCTTATCCCTCCTGCTTCTTAGTTTTCAATGTCTGTTATACCACTTTGTATGACCATATAGCCACCCTTTCGTTCCCACTTACAAGTGAAAAAATGTGGTATTTGTTTTTCCATCCCTGAGATAATTCACTTAGGATAATATTCTCCATTTCTAACCATGTTGCTGCAAAAGACATTATTTCATAAACAGCACTTTTATTGCCCTCAAATATGTTTTTCTTAGCCCAGCCTTCTCTCCTCTTGTTGGCATTTTTAAATGAACTTAACTTACATTTTTCTTTAATTCTAAATATAATATTATCTTATTTAATGATCTTAGTAAATTAGTCCTCAGTAAATCTATGTGTAAGGCATTTTTAGATATGAAGAAACTGAATCTTGAAAAAGACTCTTAACTGATGGTATCAGAAGACAAACATGGGTCTATCTGATCTTAAAACTTATACTTATAACTACTGGGTGTATTTTAATAATGTGAATACATGTAAAGTGCCTAGCATAGAGCCTCATGCATAGTGGTATTGAAAAATAATAGTTCCTTTCCTCTTTTCATTTTATTTTTAGTAGACAAATGCCCATGACTTAAGGCAGGTTTAAATGCATGATACTTCAGAGGCAGTGCTACTTCACCTTACTAATAATCTAAATTTCTGGCTAGTTAAGGTATACCTGGGTGTGTTTCTGTCATAAGTATTCTACGGAGAGCTTGTAAGCAGTTAGGTTTAAGACCAGAATTTACATGCTTAGAAATGTTCCATATGTTACAGATAGCTTTTAAACCTATATATTCTGTCAGTAATGAGAAAATGCTTGCAAGTAATATTGACATTGTGTTGGCAGTTAACCATAACAGGAAAACAAAATAGTCTAACAATTACTATATTGATTTTTTAAACTTAATTTTTATTAAATCATAACTGTATACATTTATGGGGTACAGTGTGATGATTTGATATACAGTGTAAAATGCTTAAATCAAACTAACTTAACCATCACCTCATTTACTTATTTTGGTGGTAGGACATTTATAATGTACTCTTAGTTGTTTTGAAATGTACCCTTGCATTGTGCACATTAGGTGAGATCCCACCAAGTACCCTCCCTCCACTTGCCCCCGCCTTTCCTCTCTTTCTTTCTGGATTATCTTTGTATTTTATCATTCATATGAATGTGTAAGTGTTTATATATTGGTTTCATAGTAGTTTTGAGTACATTGGATACTTTTTTTTCCATTCTTGAGATACTTTACTAAGAAGAATATGTTCTAGCTCCATCCAGGTGAACATAAAAGATGTAAAGTCTCCCACTTTCTGATGGCCGCATACTATTTCATGCTACATATACCACAATTTGTTTATCTATTCTTGGGTTGATGGGCATTTAGGCTGCTTCCACGACTTGGCTATTGTGAATTGGACTGCAGTAAACATTCTGGTGCAAATGTCTTTGTGGTAAAATGATTTTCATTCATCTGGGTAGATACCTAGTAGTGATACTGCATCCTAGTAAAAGTAGGTCAACTTTTACTTCCTTGAGAATTCTCCATACTTCTTTCCCAAAAGGCTATATTAGTTTGCAGTCCCACCAAATGTATAGAACTGTTCCTTTCTCTCCACATCACCAACATCTGAAGTTTTGGGATTTTGTGAGGTGGGCTAATCTTACTGGAGGTAGATGATATCTCAGAGTAGTTTTGATTTGCATTTCTCTGATGATTAAAGATGATGAGCATTTTTTCATGTGTTTGTAAGCCATGTGCCTGTCTTCTTGAGAAAAAGTTTCTTTCTTTTTTATTTTTATTTTTTATTAAATCATAGCTGTGTACATTAATGCAGTCATGGGGTACAGTGTGCTGGTTTTATATACATTTTGAAATATTTTCACCAAACTGGTTAACATAGCCTTCATGGTATTTTCTCAGTTATTTAGAAAAGTTTCTTACCCACAAAGAAATGGGGTTGTTTGTTCTTTTCTTATTGATTAGTTTGAGTTCTCTGTGTATTCTAGTTATTAGATTTTGGTTGGAAGCCCTTCTCCCATTCTGAAGGCTGTCTGTTTGCTTTACAAAGTGTCCTTAGCTGTGCAGAAGCTTTTTAGCGTTATCAGATTCCAGTGATATATTTTTGGTGTTCCTTCAATTTCCAGGGGAATCCTCCTCATAAAATATTTTCCCAGGCCAATATCTTCAAGCATTTTCCCTGCACTCTCCTCTAGTATTTTTATAGTTTCATGTCTTAAGTTTAAATCTTTTATCCAGTGAGAATCAATTTTTGTTAGTGGTAAAAGGCAAGGGTCCAGTTTCAGTCGTCTACAGGTCACTAGCCAGTTCTCCCAGCACCATTTGTTAAATAGGGAATCTTTCCCCCAATGTATGTTTTTGTAAGGCTTATAAAAGATCAAATGATAGTATGTGCTTGGATTTATCTCTTGGTTCTCTATTCTGTTCCATATATCTGCATCTCTATTTTTATGTGTCAGTACTATGCTGTTTTGATCACTATACATTTATAGTATAATCTGAAGTCTGGTAACATGATGCCTCCTGATTTGTTTTTATTTCTACGTAATGGTTATTCGAGGTTTTTTTCTGATTCCATACAAAATGAAGTGATATTTCTTCAAGCTCTTTAAGGTATAACATTGGTGCTTTGATAGGGATTACATTAAATCTATAGATTGCTTTGGGTAGTATGGACATTTTAACAATGTTGATTCTTCCCAGCCACGAGTTTGGTGTGTTTTTCTATTGGTTAACATCCTCAGCTATTTCTTTTCTCAGGGTTTCGTTGTTTTCATTATAGAGATCTTTCACTTCCTTTGTCAGGTAGGTTCCCAGGTTCTTCTTTGGCACTACTATAAAAGGGATAGAGTCCTTGACTATGTTGTCAGTTTGACTGTTTTGGCATACATAAAAGCTACTGATTTGTAAGTATTGATTTTGTATCCTGAGACACTGTTGTATTCCTTGATCACTTCTAAGAGCTTTATAGTTGAGTTCCTAGCGTTTTCCAGGTATAAAATCATGTCATCTGTGAAGAGTGAGAGTTTGACCTTCTCTGACCCCATTTGAATGCATTGGCTAGGACTTCCATTACTATGTTGAATAGCAGTGGAGACAAAGGCATCCTTGTCTATTCCAGACCTGAGTGGAAATATTTTCAATTTTACTTTGTTCAATATGATAATTGGCTGTGGGTTTGCTGTAGATGGCTTCTGTCAGTTTAAGAAATGTCCCATCTAAGCCTATTTCTTAAGTGTTCTGATCATGAAAGGATGCTGGATATTATCAAAAGCTTTTTCTGCATCAATTGAGAGAATCATATAGTCTTTGTTTTTTATTTTATTATGTGGTTTATTGTATTTATAAATTTATGTATGTTGAACCAGCCTTGTAACCCTGGGATAAAACTGACTTGATCATGGTGTGTAATTTTTTTTTTTTTTTTGAGGTGTCATTGAATTCTGTTTGCTAGGATCTTATGGAGGATTTTTGCATTGATACTCAGTAATGATATTGGTCTATCACTAGATATTTCTTTGTTGGGTCCTTTCCTGGTTTGGCATTAAGGTGATATTTGCTTCATAGAGTGTGATGGGAGGAGTCCTTTTTCTAGGTTTTGGAAAAGGTTATGTAATATAGGTACTATTTCTTTAAAGGTTTAGTAGAATTCTGATGTTAAGCCATCTAGTCCTGGACTTTTCTTTTCTGGGACATTTTGTATCATTGATGCTATTTCAGTGCTTCATATAGGTCTATTCAAAATTTCTAAATCTTTCTGGTTGAGTCTAGGAAGATGGTATGCTTCCAGGTACTGGTCCATTTCCTCCAGATTATCATATTTCTGAGAATAGAGTTTTTTTTAATAGTAAATCATTGAGGAGTTTTTGAATTCCTGTGATATCTGCTGTTATTTCTCCTTTATCATTTCTGATTGACATTATTAAAGATTTTACTTTTCTATTTGTGGTTAGGCTAGCCAAAGGTTTATCAATTTTGTTAATCTTTTCAAGGAATCAACTTTTTGTTTTGTT